CACTCACAAATTATAAAAATAACATCTCCACAATTGAATCTAAGTTAATCAATACCAAGAACCAAACAACTCCAACTAACCCATAACAGCTCATAAAATGCATCAATTTATACATACCTACAAGTAATATAATTATTGATTAACACTCACGTTTCAATATAAGAAACAATTATCCTTACTTTATTATATATATATATATATATATATATATATATATGGATCTTACTTTGAATTCCAAACACACAGTGACTGATTTTCTAAATTTATAATTGACTAGAAATTAACACATGATAACTTTATGCATCTACAATTAACTTGTTTTATTTTATTTTCATCCTAGTACAGATCTTTCTTTACCTCAATTGGTCACCGGAGAGGATCCAGATGTCTGAACGCATCAAACTCACCTTCGACGCCAGTACATATGACTAGTCACAACTGACTGGACCAGGCCAGGGCTGCTCTATGATCAGGGATGTGCCAACTCAGGTTTTTAAGGTTTCTCTGTCCTACCAAAAAAGAAAGGCTCTCAATAATTAACAATTAATTTATTTAAATTATCTACCATGTTCTCTTATGCTCTAAATCTGAAATGCCTAATTTTAATATTTTCACTTCCTCTCACGGCAACCTCAAACAGTACCTCTACATCTATTTAATACCCATATACATCCTATTACAAAACCCTTATGTATATAACACCCAATACAATAAAAGTCATAAAACAGTTTCACAAGAACACACCAGTTCAACATTCATATGCATATATTTTTATAAAATAAATTCATACAAAAATAATTAGCTTCCCTTACCTCTTGAAGTTGAGCAGTATAGTCAACTAGAGTGCCCTAACCGTGCCTTCACAGAGAAAACCCAAAAGTGCCCTACAACCACCTAAATGGTGATGAAAACAGCTCTTAGAGCTAGAATAGACAGAGAATCAAAAGGAGCATCCTGCAACCAGTAAAGCTGCATGTCCTAAGTTCAAGAAAAAGTGGAGAAACTGACTTACCCGTCCAAATAAAAATCTAATCGGATAAAAGGGAAGCTCTCAACTCCGTGAGCGAAATAACACCACCTATTTGAAATTTCAACGGTTCAAATGAGTGCAAGGGTATAGAGAAGGCAGAGCAAGAAGGAGAAAATGGAGATGAGTTTAGAGAGAAAGGGGAACTGGAAAATAAACTCAGAGCTGGAAAAATGAGGCATCTTCTGAAGTCCTAGTGCCCTTAGCTTCTTGGGCCAGGTTGCAGGGCCCAGTAGCCTTACATTTTCAGGCTCTTACACATATTTTTCTCCTCTAAAAGTTATTTTCTTTGTTTTCTGCCATACCTAAAATTCGGTAAAAAAGAATCAAATTCAAATCACATTAATTTTTTTTCGTGTTAAATAAGTTTTCTAGCTGACATAAAAGCCAAACATAAAAGCTAAAACGTGTTAAATTGTATAAAAAAAATAAAATACTACCATGAATTATACTTGATACATATTTAATATGTAAAAAAAATATAGCGCAATTAAATAAAAAAAATTTATATAAATAAATTCTAATTTCTTTATAAAATTAAGAGACTAAAGAAAGCGTATTTTTCCAAAAAAAAATTATGACGACTTTGAACAAAAAATTGACATTGATAACATTGATAGAAAAATAATAATTATAAAACAATAAAAAAAATTCATGAAAGGCAATAACGTTTTATTTCACATTAAACAAAACAGTTCCGTGGAAATAAAACTCTTATTAATGTATGGACAGATAATTTGGTCTAGGCTTGTTTCATTCTGCACTCCAACAATTTCTTATTCCCCTTCCACTCTTTCTCAAACAAGGTTTTATGGAATACATTGTTTATTATATTATGAAAAGTTTATTTTAGAATAAATGGGAAGTAGATGGAGTTTAGGAATATCAAATCGTTTAACTAGTAATTAATTTTAGAAAAAAAATAATAATACTATATTGACAGATTTAGATGTCGATTTTTAAATTAAAGATAATAGATATATAAAATAGTATAATAAAAAAATATAATTAGATTGTGAATTATTCTCTAAATTAATCACTAATATTAGTTTTCAAACTTTTAAGCTTTCAAATCAATTAAAGTCTAGATTTATCTATTCGTAACAAATTTAGACATTAGTTTATTTAATAACTAAAAGCTTGATAATTAATAATTAATGTTAGTAATCAATCCATACTCAAATTATTATTTTTTATTTATAATAAAGATTATTTTATATATCGTTAATATTTATTTTACAAAATTTATTCTTATTTAAAATATTTTCTGCTAACGTCTTTACCAAGTGTGAGTGATGCAAAATTTATATTTATAACTTCTTTAACCAATACCCAAACGTTTTTCTACAGAATTAATGATGAGGTTTGATTTTTTAAAATTGGCAATAATTTTAAAATATAAAAGAGTAAATTACAACTTTTTCTTTGTTTTAACTATAGTGCTCTATTATTTTCATCTCTTACATTAAAATATAACGAATACGAGTGCGTAATTTTTTCCATTAAACTTCTGTTAGTTTCCGTTAAAAATAAATGTTACTATAAAAAAAATCTTTTACAGTGTTCCATTTTCTATGAGATCCAGCTCATCGTCTCTTATTTTTATTTTCTTACAAATAATCTAATGACTAAAAATATCTTCTACCTTATGAAATCTGAATCACATGCTTCTCTTTTAACAAATGAAAACACATGGCAATTCTATTTTATACTTAAATCATAAATTATCTGTGTTACACATTTGTCACTTCCTAATGTTTGGTTTTCCTATAGCACCTCTCACAAACAATGCCGGCGTTAGGAGTAAAACAAAAAAAGTAATTATTATTAAATTAACATATTTATTAAACATTAAGTACTAAAAGTGAGAAACTTTTTACGGGGTAACGAATTCAATGTACACTAAAAAAATTTTATAACTTTTATAATTTTTTTCATCATATACTTTTTGTTAGAATATATTTTTTTCCATTAAAATCATAAATTAATTGAAACAGTAAAAACTTTGCACAGTAATGACAACAAAAATTAGTTACAGGCGTTTGAGGTTGTTTTTGCTTGAATAACTGCCAACTAGACTTCACTTTTATTTCGGCCTTCATAAGATCATACAAGAAATAAGCCACCTCATATGCATGACCAATGGTCAAATGAGCAGCATCACAGTTGGCATGCATGACAGCCAAAGTTCGTTAGTTGTTACTCGAGAATGCAACCTCCTAAACTTGTGCAACACCATTCGTTTTATTTAAGCTTTTTTTTTATCTCTCAATCTTTCATCTTCTTCGATATAACTTTCTTCCCACCATTTTCTTGATGTACCAATAATTTGACTCTGTTAGTACTTTGAGGGAATATTGGGACTGCTGAGTTCTTGGGCATATCTTGCTTGATTTCAGCAGGGCCTGATCGGCAGTCTCCTGGGTCTTTCGAACACGCCGCCTTTTCATGTAATCTTCTCATTCTTCCTACACTTCTTCAATTGAGGTTTTCTTGCCATGTGTTTTCTGTTGTAATTTTTACTTTCTGCATGAAGATTTGTTTCTTTCACCGTCATGTCGATTCAATTTCAATCCTGGGACGTTTATAATATACCATGATAAGGAAAATATTTGTGTTCTCTTTCCATCTGGATGTTTTGCAGACAAAATGTCAGTTTTAATGCCTTAAAGAAAAGGTGATGAGAAATTAATAACCAAAGTGCACAACTTGAAGAGTTTTGGGAATTATTATTAGTCATTATTCTCTTCCTGTTGTTTGTCTCCTTTGGCTTAAGAGAATGATACGTTCTTTCACCTTCAAGTGACTGCCAAAAATATTGCTTCTTTATGTTTTTCATGCAAAAACGCTGGTTGATTATGATATTTTAAGATGAGAATTTTCCTTTTTGACTTTGGTTTTACAGCAACTAAACTTTCCACTATAAAACCTGGACCTCGTTGATCGATGGAAACTGGAGGTGATAACAAAAATATAGGTAATGAAACCAACAACACAGGTAATAAGTGCATAATGATTAAACGCATCATTCTTCAAGTAATACAAGTTAGGCTCTCAAGTAATACAAGTTTGTCTTTCGTAACATCTGTAAATGAATGATCACCAGGAAGTTCATCCCATGGTGCACTGGAATCATCACAAAACCAACCTTCTACGAGTGTTCTCACAAAAGTTGAATCACACGCTCCAACAAAATCTACCGAAGATGTTGCAGGTGGGGTTGTACAAAACCCTCCAGTGCAGATGATGGAGCGTCCAGGCGAACCAAACACCTCTCCCAATTACACCTTTCCATCTCATGTCTTCTCCAAGAGTACTGCAAACTCTCAAGTGGAATGGAGCACTGCCTCTAATGAATCATTGTTTAGCATCTACATGGGAAACACGAGCTTCTCAAACGAATTAGGTTGTTTTAAATCCTGGGAGTTGGATCAGCCTTCTGCTTCGCAAACTCAGAATCTAGCTGCCTCAACAAATAAATTCAATGCTATCAGCAAAAGAACTCATGAACTACAGAACGAACTTAGTTCCAAAAATGCTGAAGCAAAAGCTGCCGAGACAATGAGGGAGGTCATAATGGAAAGTAGTCAAACCACACAGAATGTCGGTAAAGGAGATGATAAGGCTTTCGAGCCTCAACGCCAATCAAATGACAGCACCAATTCCTATGCGTTTCAACAGTAAGCTTTGATCACTGACTACTTTGTTATTATGTGTAATGATCAAATTGTTTTAAATTCAAATACTGAAAAACAACTATCACACGTTCAAAAAGAACAGGACTGTCTTACGATTTTTCTTACATGCTTGTTGTAAAATGTATGAGCAAAAGGATGAATATTAATGAGACATGCATGATTTTTCCTCTTGAATTAATATGAAGGTCGTCGAAAGATCCAGATAAGAGTGTTTCGTCCCTGAGTACTGGAGAGAAACAAGAACAACAGGAGTCATCAAACACAGCTGATCAGGCCCCAAAACCAACCACAGATGCATCAAACGGCTGGAGTTGCTTTTCGTGCTGCTCGTAGAAATCAGCACATCTGAGTTTTTTTGTATTCTTACAAAGCCATTAACTATTCTTGTCGTCTAATTAAGCTAGTATCATGGGTAATCTGAATAGCAGAATAGATCTAGCTAGTTAGCTTTAATTCTAATTTTACTTGTGTTGTTTATTTTGTACATCTTAGTTGATCAGGGACGAAACTTTTGATTAACTTTGTAAGATACTTTAGCTCACAAAGGAATAACAGAGGCAATTATTGTGGTATTATGTTGCAGACTTGTCATTTGAAATGTCTCTTATCGGATGATACTTTTACACCACAAAACACAAAATTTAATTTATTTAACACTACAAAATAATAATGTTTTGATTATATTTATATTATTAAAGAGGTGTTGAGTTTAAGAAGATCCTCAAACAAATTTTTTTCACTCTTATTTACTTTACACAATAATACCATGAATTCCAAATAAATTTATACAATCACTTACATTCGTTGTTTTGTTCTTTTTCTTTTTAATTATAAAGATATGTTTTTGATAATTACATTATCCTTGAAAATAAGTTATCGAATAAATATATAATTATAAAAATATTAATTTTCAATGATAAAACATTTATGATAATTGAAAATTTAAAATAAAAAAATTATATTTTGATACCATCAATCCAATAAATTCTTATGTAATTTTACTTCGATAATATATATTAATATTAAAATTTTAATTTATAAATGAAATATACATTATTAAAATATTAGTATAATGAGTTGTTAAATAATTGTTTGTGTAAGACCTATGAAAAATATTTACCTTAATAGTAACAATTTTATTACTAGTAGTAATAAATTTTTCTTTATGAATGGAAAATATAATTAAGAAGTTTATGTAAAAATAAAACGTGGAAAGTTAAATAAGAAATTTTGGTAGCTTAAATGGTAGAAAATTGTGGTGATTTCAAGAACATGGGTTCAAACTCGGAACAACCTCTGGTCAAGAAACTAAGTCTGGAATAGAGGTAGGGAAACTAACCTTTCTAAGCTTTTATATTATGATTTAGTATAGAGGTCCTGGTCTATGTGCCGGTTTTGGACATAGTGTTGAGGACTAACCTTGTGGATGGTATGAAGTATTTTGGAAATGTATTTGTAAGAAGAAGTAGAAGTCATCACAAATGCATAACTTCTCGTGACCGCCCATCAACGTATCATCCGAATGAGTGTCTATTGGGTATTGTGGAATGAGTGTCTATTGGGTATTGTTGAATGAGTGTCTATTGGGTACTGTGGAATGAGTGTCTATTGGATATTGTGGAATATGAGTGTCTATTGGGTATTGTGGGATGAATGTCTATTAGGGATTGTGGTATGATGGGATGAGTGTCTATGGTGCGATTATTGTATGATGGTATGAGGGTGCGTGACATAATTATTATATGATGTTTGTTGAGTATATCAAAGTAATTATGCATGTTTTATAAATGATTTGTTGCATGTTAGCTCACCCTACTTGTTTGTGTTTGTATATGTGCGATGATCGTATAATTCGTTATACGGGAGCAGATGAAGGAATGTCGTCTGATTCAGTGCCAATGAAGAAAGAGATAGAAAAATAAATTAGAAGAATTCGAGTTATATATATATATATATATATATATATAT